CACTGCAGCTCCTACGGCTGTTAGTCGTGCAACCAGCAGTACATATTGCATTGCAGTTCTTACTACAATGCCCAGTGCATACCACCAGGCAGTTCCGACAACAGTTCCCTGAGACAACCATCAAGACAGCTCCCAGTGCAGACCCGATTAGATTCGGTAGCACAGCTCTCGCACAAAAGCTTACGCCGGCTTCAATTACAGGTCCTGCAATTAGTCGTACCACAGTTCTTATTGCAGCCAGAGCTACATCCCCCATCAGAGCTCTTACTGCTGGTCGCAACACTGCTCTTACTTAGAGAAAAGTAGATTGGGAGAGTGAGGGGGAAGGGAGAGACCGCGAGAGCGAAAGCGACAGCGAGAGCGAGCGAGGGAGGAAAATGGAGAGAGGAGGGGCAGCGGGAAGGGGAAGAGGGAAGGGGGCGAGAGGGAGAGGAGGTGGTGTGGGGGGGGGGCAGGGGGGGGCGAAGAGGAGACGAGAGGGAGCAGAGGGGGGAGGATGAGGAGGAGGAGGAGGAGGAGGAGGAGGAGGAGGCAAAGCGTAACCAGGGGGATCGTCGTCATGCCGCACTACTCTCTACCACCAGCCTGCCAGTCCTCCCTCGCGCTGTGTCCCTCAGCCACTTGGCCATGGGCGCTGCGGCGCGGCAAGGCGACGTTTACAGAGGAGGACGGAGGCCTATGGTGCACATAACACACAGTATTTGACATCCTGTTCAGATTAATAACTTGCACATCTGACTGATGCAGAGTCGGATCGCCATTGTGCGGGGGCGCACTTGGCAGCACATATGTGTGGGAGGAGTGGTTCACAACAGTCGGGGAGGAAGGGCGGACAGAGGAAAAGCCAGAAGGAGAGAACATGGCATATAATACCTCTGGCCCACTGGCTGGGACAACCATGCGAACGGCAGATAAATCTCGGGGCATATCATAGTCAACCCATTGGAACGTTGTGGGCTGATCAGCTGAGTTCGACAACACATCAGAAGATGAGATTGGGCCAGAACAGGAAAACTGGTCATCACGATCAAAGAGCCTACGCACAACTCTGACATTATTTTCCGCACAGTGCGCCACATCAGAGGGTCTCGAAGGAGAAGTGGGACTCGTTCCCGGTGCCGATCCTAGTGCACAACATGGCCTCGATTTCCTCAGAGTCGGACTAGACGAGGCAGCTTCACCATCATCAATCGCCGTGGCTGCCACACCAATGCTCTCGGAAGAGGAGGGAGAGCTACTATCGTCAGACTGGTCACCTGCGGAACATGACGAGCTTTGGGGCGAGGAAGATGCCGAACGTGTCTGATCTGCCACTTGGCGTGATCGGAGGACGTGCTGGTGGAGAGCTGCCCTCGCGATCCACTTCAGCTGCTTGCCACGCGGCGGGAGACGTGCTGCGAGTCTAGTGGCTTCCACAAGTTATGCAGCCTCTGGGCATGATGGTGGAGAGCTGAACTTGTGGGAGACCAGGCGCTAATGATGGTACATCGCGATCAGGAATGCTAGCGACCCATCATGTAGAAGCCCCAGCCGTCCTTGCACTGAGCATGGAAGGTCAGAGCGCAGAGCTAGCGCTGCAAAATGGCGCAGCCGGGGGCAATCGCAAATGTAGTGCGAGATGCGGTCAGAGGCCCCGCTGCATCCGTAGATGCACCCCGCCTCACGTTGCATGCGAGTATTAGTGATCCATGCTCCTGTCCACGATTTGAGAGCAACAGCGATCCATGCTGTTGGTGCACCCTTTACGATATCCGCAAAGATGTTCCCGTCATCGACGTAGAAGCCAAAATGCCTCTTCACTCGCTGCTTAATAAGGTCCAAGAGGGATGGTGGGAAGGTGGACCGTTGGATGATGGCCGTGAACACAGCCTGCCACTTAATCTTCGTGGGAGAGCGACCATGCGTAGTAGCTTCGAGCTGGCGTGGGATGGCACGCAGGGGAGTGGGAAGAGCCGCTTCACCAAATAGTCGTATGATAGAGTGGGGGATCTGCCCCGTAGTTGCCACCCAGGTTTCAACTGCCAACCGCCCACCATTTTGAAGATGCGGATCTCCTGGGAAGCCACGAAGCGCATCCTCCAGAAATGCCACAAACGGTGGGGCCTGCCAGAATGGCGGAGCCTTTTGGGGTAAGTTCCACCACGCTGCGAATCCTTGTGTGATCAGCGTATCCACTAGGTCAGCTGGGACTGTCTGCCACGATGGGCAAGTCAGAACTGCGGTCCGTAGCCTGGCTGCAGCTGCAGACGCATAAGTAGACGGGAATCGTGGACCACCGAGCATGTGAAGATTGAAGCAGTCTGCCGTTCGAAGCATAGAGCTTGGGGCTCGCAGGATACGGGCGATACAGCGGCGTTGACATTGTCCATTCTTCCAAGTCAGGGGGACGAGCTGCGCTACATAACTGAGCACAGGGACTGCACGTTCGCGACAGAGGGGGACCACCACAGACACAGGGGCGCCAGACAAGCTGACGTCAACTGCCCTCGCGTGGTGCTTGGCCAAAGGTTCATGCCATTGGTCTGCCACACTCGCACCAGGACCGATGCGAAAACCGAGATATGTGCATACATTCACTATGGCAAAGGCCTTCCACGCAGGGTTAGCGCCAGTCAGCGCAGAGCGGAGTGCCATCGTAGTGTCTTCATTAAGCTGATTGGCGAGAGGGATGGCAGCACACTTCCGATGCTTCAAGAAGAGGTTCGCTAGCTCCCCCGCCAGGCGAAAGATTCGAGCCAATCTGCGGCACGCACGATTCCGAAAGATAACCACACCCAGGTCGTCGGCACACGCACGAGGGACCCCCAATGTCGGAGAAGGGCGTGACAAGCTGGCCTCCATGTCGAGCAGAAATGGGTTCGCTGCCACAACATAGAGCGTGCCAGTTAGCGGACACCCTTGCAAGACCCCCGAACGCATACAATACATATAGTGCAGCTTAGCACATGGTGTGAGAATAGAAGCTCTCAAGCGCACTCTTCAACGGTTGTGGGAGACGAAGCCGAGCGATGCATTGAAATAACCAGGGCTGGCTGATACTGGGGAAGGCTTGCGCGAAGTCGAACGTGAGCAGAGCAGGGCACTCTGTGGTGTGAAGATGAGCAAGAATGCTCGCCTTCCTCGCTTCTGCGTCCAACATGAGTACATTGTTGAGGAAGTAGCGGCCTTTGATGAAGCCGTTCTGGCATTTTGCGCCCACAGACGTAGCCACAGGATGAACGCAGCGATTGAGAACACCGCATATCACTTTGTTGCATGTGTGTTTGAGGCCTAAAGGGCGGGTCTCGCTAGGGCCACGTCGAACCCCACCACATGCAGGCTCATCTCGGAGGGCAATGGGATCCTTGAGGGGCTTCGGAAGGAACACAGAGAGCAGCGCCGTGAAGTCGCTGCCCATGTAGTGGCCCTGCCGGAGCCAGTTGAGGACCTCAGTCAGCACCAAGGGGCCTGCTCCAATGCTCCACGGAAAGTAGTGTAGAGGAGGAGGAGTAGGAGGAGGAGGAGGAGGAGGAGGAGGAGGAGGAGGAGGAGGGGGTTGACGATCATCAACCAGCAAGAATAATCCGACTCTGCCTCGCTCTACCCATCAAAAAGCGATGGCAGGCGGCCGCGCATTCGCACGAGGGAGGCCCCGCCTCTACCCCCCTGCTCCCGCCGCTGCCGCTGCTGCCTCCCATTGCGCTACACTGCTGGCGGGCTGCCATCCAGGGGGGCCCAAAACAATGCTCTTCCCCGTCTCAATCCGTGGATGCTGCCCCTTCAACATCCAGCTCCAGCGGTACTGCTGGACATCCGACGAGAAACCTCCATGGCAACTCCTAGCCAAGCAACGCAAACGTCTCGAAGTGTGGGCCCCGCATCTCGAACATCCGAGGTAGAAGGCCTCCTCATCAGCTAAGAAAGGAAACGTTCAAAGCGCCCTCCTAGTCTCTTGAACAAAAAACATGACAGTGGACTGTTGTGGCCTGGGCAGGCGAGCCTCAGAGGCGCACTTGCCCCACTATTACTTTAAACGAGTTGTGGGTGACAAAAAAACGATGTCCGCCTGGGCCCCCGTCGGAGGAGCGAAAATGCGAGCGCAATGGCGCGGGCGGTCGCGCGCGACCCGCAACTGGTAATAACGTGAATGCGCGGGCGTCGCGGCGACGACAACGGCGACGGCGACGACGACGGCGGCGTCTGCGCCGACGGTGACGTCGACAGCGGCAATGGCGACGGCGGGGACGACGAACATCGCAGCGACGGCGGCGACGGGGCCCGGGCCCGCTAGCGAACTTGCGCCCCGCCCTCGTTCCTGGAGTCCCGCGCCAAATTGTTGCGAGTTTACCCCAGCCGTCTCTCCGCTTTGATAAAGTGCTCTATTTGCTTTGAATAAACGTGGCTGTTTCGGAATGTGTTGAGCGGCGCGCCTTTACTAAAGCCGCTTCCTCGCTTTCGTACAGCCGCTTCCTCGTTGGAGTATAACCGCTCCCTCGCTTTAGTAAAGCCGATTCCTCGCCTTAGTAAAGTCCGCGGTCTGCCTTTGTAAAGCCCTGGCGATGCGGTGGTGATGCGGATCTGGGGCCTGGTCGTGGGGCAGGGGGCCCCTGTCCTTCCTGCCAGCTCACCCCGCGATGCATTTACTCGAGTAGCCAGGGTCGCGTAACATCGGATCGCGGCGATCCTTGGACGTGTCTTCAGCGAGTTGTTGCTGTTCCCTGACAAGAGATTCAAGGCGCAAGCGCAGGACGTGGCTCGACAATTCGGACGCGCCGCCGCGGTTGTCGCGCAACAGAGCAGACGCACTTTACTAAACGGCTTTTCCTTTAGCCAATAGCTCCTTCAAAGCAATACCGCTGCCGAGAGCCTGCTCTTGAGAACCTTGGTGCTGTCCTTGCACGCCCACGCCAGAGGAGGACGAGGAGGAAGAGGATGAAAAGGACGACGAGCACGAGGACGAGGACAAGATAAGGGTGTGGGGTGGGCAAGGAGTGAGCCCAGAACCCCTCAGGCCGCTCGAC